AAATATAAGTCGTTACCCATCGAGCCGAACTGTGTCGAAGACAGGATCATGCCAAATTATTACCACAACATGAATATAAATGAGGATGGGCTGGATAAAAGGGGTTAAGAGTCATTCCACGAGAAAACCATGCAGAAGGTGGGAGTCAGCAGATCAAGTTCATCTCGGGGGGATTTTATGGACTCCTCAAGACTACTTCACAGCCAGGAGGGCCGATCTCACCGTTATTGAGAAACAGCCTCTGGGTGATTTCTGGCCAATTTTGCCATTTTTCAGGTCATTTTTGGTCAATTTTCAGCCACCTATTGTAGCGAGTCTAGGGTTTGGATGGAAATGGTTGTGATTGGTGATGTTAGTGGGGGTCTTCCTGTGCCCCAGTGTGAAGACCATAAAGTCGCATCTATTCTCTGGGAGAAATGATCAGCAAAATTTTAACATATGGCGACTAAAACTGAAAATATACACCTGCGGAAATTAGCTCTATTTTCTATGATGCAGGGGTAGGTCAAAATATCGAAATGGTTTTGTGCACAGCTCGACACACTCTATCGATATAAAAAATAAAATCTCTGTCACCTCTCTTCAATCAATGCAAAATAATAAGTCAAAGTTGGTGAATTTTTCCTATTGTAATCTCTCATTCTCTATGAAATGGCTAACTACTTTCATTCAGGGTAAGCCAGCTTTCTCCGTTTCTTCACCAAATCATTCGCCAGCGCTCGCAGGTATTAGCCTGAAACCCGCTCGAGCAAATCTAGTCTCTTTGATGATGATTGGTATCCAATTCATGATGGTCGTGCCCGAGACCGCAGAAAATTGTGTTTTTTCTTCATTTTTGGCCATAGAATGTGGTGCATATCCCAGATATGAGCAATGGAATGACTTAATAGATTGAAAGAGTTACTACGGACATTAAGGCCCGTCCTATAGCACATTACATAGCAATAGGTGAATTGAGAACCGAATGGGGGCTGATTTCTTGACGAAGTGGGATTTTTGATCTTGATAAGTCGATTCCAGATGGAAAGGCGATATGTGCGGCCCATCGCTACAGCCTGGGTCTCAAATGGAATATTCCAAAATGATGTAAACAATTTGCTGTCCATAATGAGGAAATGAGCTGTCAAAAGAGCCAATTTGCTACACCACCTCAGGTTAGTTCTTCAAATAAATGATATGACGTAGGGTCAAAAATTAAACTTCATCATGGGATGAAGGGGGCAACATTTGTAAAATTTTCTGAAACTGGTCCCAGACAATCTATCATACAGAGACTTGATATGCAAGATTATTCATTTGCATATATACATTGAGGTTGATATTAAGAATATTTTCAATCTGATTAAAACACAGATCCTATTTCGTTTCGTTTTTATAGTTTAAAATTTTGTTTTACTTGTCTTTACTACACTAGGATCTGAAAGAGTTGTTATCAATGACGTGTTCTGAATAGTGTGAGGTATTAGCCAATGAAACGGTCTGTTACGGCGAGCTTTAGTCATGTTTTGCACGGAACTGTGGGTAAGCCCCTAGTTAATCAAATGTCTGACGGCATAGGCTCACTTGCCGCGCGTATGACCTCTGACGTGACCTATCACAACAACAAGTCAGATCATCATGTAGTGTAGGTCATCGAAAGTAAAAAAAAACGAAACGAAATATAAATCTTTATTTTAATCAGATTGGAATATTTTGAGAGGTGACCCCTGATAGAAATGTCCTTCATGTACAAATTCAGTTTTAAAAGACCCAGCAAGATCCATTTTGGGCTCCGAAAATGATCATATGATGAAGTTGAAATTTTGACCCTATGCCATATTTTTTATTTGAGGAATTACCCTGAGGCGGTGTAGGAACTTGGCTCTCTTGACATCTCATTTCCTCATTATGGGCAGCATAATATTTCTGGCATATACATAGAATAGAAGAAAAAAAATCTAAAATTAACAAGAATTTTTTAATGCTGCCAAAGTTAAAAAAATAGCAGAGAGCTGGCCTTTAGTAAAGGTATTACAGCTATATCAGATTCAATGCCGCTGGTTTGAGGACTTCTGAAGCCCATCTCGGTCAACTGTTTTCTGCTAATTTGATTGTGGTCGAGCACACACACAAGGTTTCCATCGATATTTCAAAACTCCAACTTCTTTCTTCTTTTTTCAATAGTATTTTATTTCACTTAGCCATTCCAATAGCAATCAGTTGATTCCAAGTGACACAACGAGGTCTTTGTATGGCTTCTCCTTAGATGTGGCAGCATGCATCCTTTTGGAATACTTTTACTACAGCCTCGTCAAGAAATCAACTCCCTTTCGGTTCTCACACCACTTATTGCTATTTGATGTGCTAAAAGGTGGGCCTTAATGTCCTTAGTACATTTTTTCAATCGTATGAAGTGATTCTCTTCGTAATATCTGGGATATGTACCACATTTAATGGCCAAACATGAGGAAAAACCGCAATTTTGTGCGCTTTCGTGCACGGCCATCTTGGATTGGATACCAATTAAGCCTCATCAAAGAGACTAGTTTTGCTCGAGGGGGTTTCAAGCTGCTACCAGTGAGCACGGGCGAATGATTTGGTGAAGAAACGGAGAGAGCTGGCTTACCCTGAATGAAAGTAGTTGGCCATTTCATAGAGAATGAGAGATTTACAATAGGGGAAATTCACCAACTTTGACTTATGATTTCGCATTGATTGAAGAGAGGTGACAGAGATTTTATTTCTTATATCGATAGAGGGAGTCGAGCTGTGCATAAAACCATTTCGATATTTTGACCTAGCCCCGCATCATAGAAAATAGAGCTAATCTTCGCAGGTGTATATTTTCTGTTATATTCACCATATCTTGCTGATCATTGCTCCCAGAGAATAGATGCGACTTCATTGTCTTCACACTGGGGCACAGGAAGACCCGCACTAACATTACCAATCACCACCATTTTCATCCAAACCCTAGACTCGCCACAATAGGTGGCTGAAAATTGACCAAAAATGACCTGAAAAGTGGCAAAATTGACCAAAAATCACCCAGAGGCTGTTTCTCAATAACGGTGAAATTTTGAAATCGGCCCTTCTGGCTGTGAAGCAGTCAGGGGGAGTCCATAAAATCCCCCGGAGATGAACTCGATCTGCCGACCCCCCATCTTCCCGATTTTGCACGATTTTGCATGGTTTTCTCATGGAATTACTCTTAATGATTTACTTGAATTATCAGGTTTTGAAGGTCTAAATATCCGAACTCCGCCATGCACACCAGACTGAGAAGGAGGCCACTATAAATTAGTAAATCGTTGCAAGCCATAAGTTTCCATTCAATAAATAAACAGTCTTCTGCTTAAATATAACGAGGTGTCTGTGGACTGTTTGAAAACAAAGGCCACTTTAAACAACTTATCTCGTATTTAAAGCTACGTTCCCAGAAAAGTATTTATCGGGTGGTTATTTCCAATAAAAGTATGGCAATTGTGGTATATATGGAAAGTAGAAATATCCAATCTTACTAGAAAAATACTGGATTCCCTGAAAAACACCCATGGAGCGCATACAGGACAAAAATGTAAGGGTTTCCCTAATCGACAGCCCGACGATTAGGAGTGTCTGCACGCGTGACGTCGAAGGTTGCAAGCGGAGATTAAGCGCTTGATGTACATTTTGATAAACTTTATGAAGAATTAGACGTACAACACTTTCTGAGATCAAAATCACGGTAAAAGACGCGGGCAGTGGATAATCCGAAAATTTAATTAGGCTTCGATATTTGTAATAAATAGTCAGCGATTAAAGACAACATCGTCTTGTGTATGCAATAAATTCTCCTCTGACTTCGCTTGCGTTTCTAGGTACCGAGAGAGGTAAGTCACATGACACAAACATGACCCTTTTTGATCGATTTTTTATAGCCAGGGTATTCCCCGACAATTGCAATGTTTTGAGAAGGATTTGAAGCCAAATTATGATAAATTAATTAGTTTGAATATGTTTTTAGTCCAAATATATCATCAAATCACCCAGTTTGTACCAGGGAATGTATCTTTAAATTATTATTATTCATTAGACATTCATTAGACAACAGGGTAATTACCAGTCTCAAATTCTAAAAGCAATATATCTTTAAATGGACACAATAAAATGCAGCAAAATGTCTTAATACCAAAATATGTTGTTAAAGTTGTATTTAATACATGGTTTAGCTCGGTTTATGTGTAATTATTTTTGAAAAAAAATGTCATCTAAGCAACCAAATTTTTAATATTATTGCAAAGAAGGGTTGCCCCAACCGTCACTTTCTAAGCTTTTATATTTACAACGCAATATACCCGGTAACCGTTTAGTTTGCTATTGACGTCGGAATGAATGGAGGCCATTCATACCGTTCGATCTATAGTCAGCTTTTGATTTGTATGCTATTGTTAATATGACAGGATTTTTACTAGCGACCATCGTGTTGACAGCTATGTAGCTTTACTATATATAGTATTGTCATATCTTCACCTATTACATGAATACAGTCTGCATATTAAACTGGTCTATGGACGGATTTAAAAAAAAACCCAACATATATTGGGTGAAACCCATGAGTGTCAGTCTCAATTTCTTGGAACCTGATTAATGATTGAACTGACCGGGAACACCGCTGTCGGGACAAAATCCTCCCTTTACGAGTTACAATAGATTATATATCGAAATCTAATGAATAAGCGGAGTCGTTGAAAAGCTGCAGTTTAAATAGCTACTTAGAGATGGTTGTATATTTAATTGTAATGCTTCTGGGATTACAGCGCATAGTGGACAAAAACAAACTTTAATCGCATGCACGACTAACACTAATTCAACGCACAAAGTATAGCTTGTGTGTATAATCTATTGGGGCGAAAGGCGATTCGCTTTAGAATGTTCTCTACATATGTATTGTCCGATCACCCAGAGAGTTATAATAGAATGCTTATCATAATAATATAATACATACACAAATAATGACGTCTGTTCGATTTACGACTTCTTCTTTGTTATTGAATATGAAATATATATCAGAACACCATTTTGAAACAAGAATCATTTCTAAAACGCAGATTTTTAAAACAATTTAATATGTGAGGATAGATACTGAAACGCTATAGACGATAAGTATAAATGGAAGAAAACGTTGTATATAAGTTTTTAGTTCTGCTATGTTTAGTTAAACAGGTTCGTATATTATTTTTCTACCTATAGAATACCTAGCAATTGTGTATATGAGTCTTTGTCGATAGATATATATGTTTTTTAATAGTTGGTTATGAGCGTAATAACACTGTACGAATGAACTATCAAAAAGTGTATATTCATATCAAAGAATCATTCTTTTATTTTATGCCCTAAAGATGCATTATGTAAGAGCTAGGCGTTCTTGCTATAATAGTTCGAAAATAGATAATTCAAAATTAATATATTGAAAGTTTGATTCAAATTACTTTATTCGGAGCACCCTTATCACAGCTTGAAGTTTTAACATAGATTGTTTATTATTGTAGCAACGTTACCTGTTAATCGAGCCTCGTTTCCCCATTTTTAAATTAAATCATTAAATGGTGATCGCTTATTTAAATCTGGTTACATCTGCGCCATCCGACTTTTCTAGAGAGTTGATTATAGGCTTATCATGTGAATAAATGTCTGAATAATAATTTATAAAACATTTAAAGCCAAAATAAAAACCTGTAATAGGCAGATTTAGCTCTTACATAATGCATCTTTGTACAAAATACTTATATTTATACTTTTATGGATACACAATTACTAAGTTTAATACTAAGCGACGTATCGACGAGGATAGTCTCGTCTTTAGCAGCAATAAAGAGAGTAATCTCGCCGAAACGTCGCTTAGTATTAAACTCAGAAATTGTGTATCCATAAAATTGTTCCTTGTGTTAATATGTTCAAATACTAAATGCCTATCAAAGAAGATACTATACATAATATAGTAAATCCCAGGCTTGTTCATGCCTGGGTAATTTTGTAAATATCCAGGCATGTTGTTTTGAATCTTTATCACTTATAACAAAATCCCGTTTATGTTATAAACCACCGTGAATTTCTTTACCTAACAGGGTAATTATTATATAACGAGCATATAAACAAAAATATTTATATTCTCTCCAAATATATTATTTGTTATGATACCGTTATTACCATTGGCGGACACGCCAAATAAAACATTCTCTTAATGAAAATCTATTAAAATAGATAGGTAATGTTCGACGGATTAGTAGTTTAGGCTAATGCCAAATTTAAATTCCAGAAACTTATTGCTTTACCTCTTCGAAACAAACAGATGATAAATTCACCCTTATTATGCATAACAATTCTAGTAACCGATCATAATTGTCTATCACTTAGGCTGCTCACACAGCACAAGTTTAACTGTATTTTAGGGACCTTTTAAAGTGTCCGCGAAGTTTGTCAAGTTCTAAAAGGTAATTTGACAATAACCAACGATAATCAAATGTTAAAAACGAAATAATTACAAGTTCGAAATATCTGTTTTACTATAGATATACAAAGATACGGTAATTATGATTATGGTTAGTATTCATGTATGTGTACGATATTCCAAAGTACGATTATACTAATACCAAATGCTTCGTTTTAGCGGAAGATGCCACATCTACTAAAATGTGTTATATTCTTAGTATAATACTGTGTCGAAATATCAATTTGAAGGTTTTATTGAATATTCATAATCATATTTTAATTTGATTGTTAAGGTTACTGGGCAACCCGTGATTGCCGATCAACCAATAGTTGGTAATGTTAAAGAAGCAACGTTTGCCCAGGTAGCAATAGCTGACATCAAATGCACAGATCCTGGTGGAGGTAAGGTAGCAGTTTCCATAGAAACAGTTACCAGCACACCAACAGCAGGACATTGTCAACGGTGTTTCCAAGCATTTAACTTTGCTACTGGTAGGTATACGTAGCGACCTGATATCATTTTGCAATTTTTTTTAATATACTCTTCAAAAAAGTAGGGGATATTGAAAAGCAAATACCCATGCAGGTTGCGATATGATAAATAGCCATGGACATTTGACATACTTTGAGAGTATGTTCACAGATGAAGAACTTATCCCCCAACAGAACCACTGAGCTGCACATGCGACACGCAATAGCATCATACATGTGGGAGGGGGTCATTGTCAAATTTGACACTTCAAGGAAGGGTTGATGAAAACTACCGTGTGCTGGTTTATCTATCCATGTTTGCTTTTCTATCGATTCTTGCATAAGATTTACTGTTTAGCGTATCTTTGCGTTAGTGTGTTACGTTTAATTTGATCGGGAGACGTGTTCGTCGACGTCAATCTGCAAGAATTGGCCGTGGCACTGCAAGAGGAGTGGGTCAGATTGCCCCAAATCGTGATTGGACGGTTGATAAGGAGCATGCCACGACGAATTGCTGAATGTCTGAGGATTGGTGGAGCAATTACTCATTATTAAGACAAAACTCAAAAACGTCCATTTTCACTTTTGACGGCGTATCTCGTTGCGAGTGAAATGGGGCCGTCAGATAAGCCGCCCATATGAACTGTTGATGTTCATGTGTAGGCAATTGGCCTGTTATTAACATACACTGGTTAGCTCTGATAAAAACAGCAGTGCATTTCCGCAGTTTTGTATTGTTTCTGAATATCCCCTACTTTTTTTAAGAGTATATAAGGAACGGTTTGAAATCGTATCTATGCTCTGAAAGTAATTACAAAAACCAAAGTAGATAGCTAGATCTACCATTTAAATTTGAGATTTTTAAGATCTGTTAAGCTTTTTCCTTATTTTAGATGTCAAACAATAGAATTTAATTTTAGAACAAAATATGGATAAGAAATTCTTTTAGTCAATATTTTACAGCTCCATCCACCTCTTGTTCCTGCAAAGCATACTTTTTTCTCCTACATTCACAGAAAAAACGTTGAACCAACAACCGTGCGAAGAATTTTCTCCGTTTTGACATCACACAACTCCAATCCTATACATGTATTACTCTCACCTTAATAGGCCAACCAATTCATAAAGTCTTAATTGTGGCTAATTGAAGTTCCGCGCTTAGCATGTATTGAGATATTGTCTGTTATTTGATTGTGGATAAGGTGATGGTGGGATGAGCGTGTGGTTATGTAATGGGGAGGGGACGGGGTAGGGTCAGGACCCAAAAAAGGTTTTCATCCTCACCTTGGTAACGCAATAAGCAATAAACCACCAAAATGACATTGTTAATGAAAGGATGAAATATACCATATTCTTTAATTTCAGGATTACCTGAACAATGGAAGATATATTTTATTCCCGGCAACTCACCCTTGTCGTATTTGTCAGCCAGTCGTTATGACATAATGGTAGCTTGTCGCGATGGTAATGGTGGTACAACAAATACGGTGATTGGTATAAATGTTATACCAAACGCACCGCCATTTTTTAATCCAGTTTATAGTAAGCTTATACGTTTTCTCTAATCTAACCTTTGGTCAAAGCGTGCATTAAACTGAAATTACTGAGGGACTATAATTACTCTTTTACAATTCGAATCACATTAAAGATATATTATGGGAGATTCGATAAGAGTTGGCAGTTCTCACTATAAAAGTTAAAAACTAGATAATGTAAAGGCAATTTGCTGAAAATTGCATTCAAATTGATCCACTATGAACCGAGAACTAAGCGGTTGAAATTTCTGGCTAGCCTTGATCATCATTACTAAAGTCAGTACGATAAACAGCAAAGTCTCGATTATCCGTTTAATCGTTAAATCGTGACGGAAAGTTATGCAGTAAATCGGCTCACAATCCACTAAAGATCACAGGCTAGCGATGCCATCTAGAGTTGATTATGGTCGGGATAGGTTAATTAATGTTTAATTAATAATTTAGATAACATTTCAGGCCTAAAGAAAGGCCTGCAATAGGCCGATTTAACTCTTGTATAATGTATGTTTAAGTGAAAACACCGCTTTACGCCGAAGATTCTAACACATTGTCTTGCACACAATGATCCCTCCAAGCTAAATAAAAGGTAATTGTTCTCTTTCAGTCAATAAGGATATTCCGAATAGTGGTACAAAGACAGCCGGGGACAGTATTGACTTTTTTACGGCTTTGGATCCTGATGGCGATTCACTGTTTTACACCATGAATACCTCAATTACAACAGATATTTTCCAGATAAATGCTGGTACGTTGTTTTAAAAGTGTAATCTCTCGTCAGTTCTTGAGATGCGGCGAGTGATGTAACATGTCATTATGGCGGTCTTAGGCGAAGAAACCCGGCCCCGGTTTCACAAAACATTCCCAGACTTACGTTAAGAGTTGTGTAATTTCTGAACTTAAGTCTGATAAATCTTTGTGAAACCGAGATTGAAAGTTGTGTAATTTCTGAACTTCAGTCTGATAAATTGAAAGTTGTGTAATTTCTGAACTTCAGTCTGATAAATCTTTGTGAAACCGTGATTGAAAGTTGTGTAATTTCTGAACTTCAGTCTGATAAATCTTTGTGAAACCGTGGCCTTATCTTAATTGAAAGGGTTCACTATCTGTTTTCAGGTAGACTTCGAAGAAAAGTACTAGACACATCTCAATTATACGTATATTGAACGACATGGCTTAAATCGGTTATTCTGCTCTAATGCAACACGTCCCGTTCTGATAAAGCGGGGTTGGGTGGCCGAATAGTTAACGCGTGCGCGTTTGATCACAATGTCTATCATGGAGTCAAGTGGCGTGGTTTCGAATACCCGATTGTACGTGACAAGGAGTATGGTCGCCTGTCCAACCTCTTGAGTTTTCTCCGGGTCCTCCGGTTTTCTCACACTGCTAAAAACCCCTACGCGCTAGCGAAATATTGAAATAAAGTTGAACCATGTTAGTCCAGAAATGATCTGGTTTGTGTCCAGTGGATGTTAAACCCCATTTCTCCCCTTTTCTGATAATAAAAGTTTATATTATTAAGTCTGAATAGCAAAGTGACCGTTCTGCTTTTCTGATAATAGATGTCTGATATCATTTGGGAGCATGGTGATGAAGTCTACTACATGGCTGTGGGCCTCAACTTTTCACTTAATGCTCTTGTCATATATGGCATTTAAAGTAAAACGATTATACGATTATCCATACATTTCTAAATCATTTTGGTTGAACTTGTGCTTTTATTGACAGCTACTGGAGAAGTAACACTGCGGAAAGCCTTAGGCGCGCTCTGTAGGAGTAATTTAGTCTTATATATTGAAGCCAGAGACAACTTTAATGCCCAAGTAGCTAAACTATCGGCTAATCTACATTTCAAACGTAAGTATGACACAAGTTTAGGTTCATTTAAGGGATTGGTTTCAGTCAAAGTTTAGTAAATAAAATCGGTAAAAAAAGTTGGTGTCGATCTATCAAGTGACGAATACGAATCGATATTTTTATTTGAAATTTCCAGACCAATCTGATTAAAATACAGATCTATATTTCGTTTCGTTTTTTTATACCTTCGATGGCCTACACTACATGAAGATCTGACAAGTTATAGCGATAGGTCACGTCAGGGGTGAAAAGACCGACTTATAACCCTATGATGTCGGACATTTGATTAACCAATCAGCATTGGTGTTACTAGTGGATTACCCACAGCTCACCGTAACAGACCGTTTCATTGGTTTATCCCTGACACCATTCAGAACACGAGTTAAATAACAACTCTTCCAGATCCAAGTGTAGTAAAGACAAGTAAAACGAAATTCTGAACTAAAAAAACGAAACGAAATAGGATCTGTGTTTTAACCAGATTGTTTCCAGACAAGTTATGGGTTAGATCGTTACATTTTGGTGTTCAATAAGATACACATCGGAGAGCTGTTAACGTTCACACCATATGCTATATACTATTTTAATACGTCTTTTGTCTTTAGCAATGGGGGATCACGTGGCTAAGTGGGTAAGATGCTGGCTCGCTAGCCTGGGGGTCGGGTGTTCGATCCCTGCTTTGGCCGAGAAAGTTCATTCACATTTTCCGGCGTGGTTTCCCCCTTGTCAGTGATGCAGGATGGAGGGCCTGACAAGGACAGCTGTCTAGTCGTTCGGATGGGACGAAAAACCGAGGTCCCGTGTACACATTGGTGTGCACGTAAAAGATCCCTTGGCAGTTGGAATTCGATATAAGAGTAGGCCGTAGCGCCGCTGCCCGGACAAAATTTCCCTCATGGCGTATGCCCGTCTTTATTAGCCCAGGTTAGGAGCAGAACAGTAGGACGTTAACCCCCATTTCATTTCATTTCATTTCTTTAGAAGTGGGAAGCCAGGGTGGCTAGGTGGCTAAGTGAGTAAGAAGATGGCTCGCTAGCCATGACAATTCACAGTAAAACAGAAACGATTGAATGTAAAACAGTTTATATAAATTCCTATTATATTATTAAATGTGTTGCGACCCATTTGTGCCAATTTCTAGCTCCAAAATATTACCGATTTAGCTCCTTTAAAGTCACCCATTTTAACAACACCTCGAACATTGTGTTTACAGGCTATGTATCCATATTATCTGTCAACTTTTAGCTTTTTGCCATAAATTACAGTTATGAACTATCCCAGTATTATCACCAACCTAAACCGTGTTGTTACTGTAAAGGAGAATATGGTTCCTGACTCAATACCTATTGAAAGAACAGATACCCAAGAACTAGCGTTTACTTGTGACCTTACAGTACAGCCACCTTCTATGACGTCTAAAATTAACTACGATAACACAGGTAAAACTGTTACGGTAAATTCTTGGCATACTGTGCACGGAACTGTGGAAAAACCACTAGAAACGTCAACGCTGGCTGATTAATTAAGGTCTGACGTCATAGGGTCAAAAACCGCCGGTATGACCTCTGACGCGTCCTGTCACTACAACCGGTCAGACCAAAGAAAGTATAAAAAAACGAAACGAAATATAGATCTGTATTTTAATTAGATTGGTAATGGCAAGTTCGACAATCAAGTATATAAATCGAAGTCCTTTGATTGCCATACATTATGGATTAATAAAAGGGTAAATTGTCTCGAATTTATTTTATGTTTACAGGACCTAAAATTCTTCTATCATTATTGAATTATGAAGTAGACAAGAACGCCAATATAACTGTACAGTGTACAGATGGTTTATGTAATGCTGTACCCAAATGGGTGTATTTACAAATACTGGATGTCAACGACAATCCACGTCTCGACCCTCCAACACAAACCATTTCCGTTCCCGAAGGCTATGTAAGTATACATGGAAGCCCGAGAATGACATTTCTTTTGTGTGTCAACCTAGAAATATTGGCAACGTTAAATCAATCAAGTTGTTATTAGAGTAATTAAATGCTGACGATATATAAGTCCCCACAAAAGTTAGAGGAAAAGGGGCGTCTTAAATTGAGACTGATGATTTCGAATCGTGCGTATTTCCGGTATGCGAATTGCCTATTTGAAAATAACTCCCGAACACCATAAACATAATATTTTCTATACAATATCCGGACAATCAAAAAAGTTCATTCATCGATATACGTGATTCGAAATATTTACCAGAATTAGCTTATTATAGAAACGAACAATATTGTTTTATTGGTGCTTTATTTAATACCTCAAATGAGAATTAACATTGGGTTAGTGTCGTGGACAAAATTGGAATTGCAATTTTTCGAAGACAAAACACATTTCAAAATTTCATAAATATGTTGCATGTATAATCTTATTTTCGAGTCATTACTTTCGCTTTCTTAGATATCAGTTCTTCCCAACTATATACTCACAGACGAAGATGGTTCCGATCCACCTGTTTATTATTTTGTCAACGCCGTACCGGCTGGTTTCTTCATAGACAAAGTTACTGGAAGAATAAGAACAAACATCGACTACCGTGTAGACATGAATAACCAGGTAGATTTAACCCTGACCATTGCCGCCAATGATACCAAAGGTCCACAACCGACCAATCCTGTAACAGTGCTGTTAAGTATTTATGACGTTAACGATAATCGACCAATTATTACTAAGACATCTTATGAGTATCTGCTGGAAGACTGTACGCCACCGGGAGTCCTAGATACACTTGTTGGTAAGTTATCCAGATCATCTTTTAAACCCATTCATTTCATAGGTTAAAAAGAAAGTAAAATGTGCTATTTAAAACATTTAAAAGAAAGCAAACTACAAACGGAATTGTATTTTTCGAATAAATCCAGGGAATAAAACAGACTAAAAATTACCTTCCGTAAAGATACTTGTTTTTTTAACGAGTCGATGGATTCTTGTTAATACGAAAAATGATTTGCTAAAAAAAAGGACTCGTATTTTTCGAATAACTTAAGGGAAAACAGCCTAAAAATTGCCTTCTGTAAAGAAACCTGCTTTTTGAGACGAGTCGGTGGATTCTTGTAAATACGAAAAATGATTTGCTTAAAAAAAAAATAACAAAAAGCGCAACGGAAACACGTGCTGATTGTAAGCTATGTGAAAAATATGCGATGATCAAGTCGTGCAAACATTTACGTGCACTAATAAGAGCACTCAGACAGTTTTTAAATCAAAAAAAGACTACGAGCAAAGACAACTGAATGGACAAAATTCTCCAATCTCAGCGAGAACCCGTAACCATAGAAATAAAACAAACCTTACCACATGGTTATCTCAATATGATTGAAGTGCTGTATTTTATAGTTTCCAGTTAGTGTATGACTTTAAAAAGCTACGACCACCCATAAACAAATATAGCCACATATATTTTTTTACAGCCACCGATGCCGATGGCGGAATAAATAGTGAGATAGAATTTGAAACCAAGATTTCTGGCAGTCTTTCCGTGACGTCAACGGGTCAAATATCACTGCGAGCAGCACCTGTAGCAGGAGGTTTTGATAATGTAGAAGTGTATGCCTACGATAAAGGTTTAAATCCAGGTGTTTTAAAAGTAAGACCAATCGGATTAAGCCCAATTTTGTTTCATGTTTTGTTCCAGGATAGCGGGATCTGGAAGAGTTTGAAATAAACCGCTTGACGTTGGAGGGTAGCCAATGGAATTTTCTGGCAAATCCGGTTTGTATCTTAGGTGTGCATGCAATTCTGGGAGACACATATAGCCGTAGAAAACAAACCACAGGTGGAATTTAACAGTTTACGTCTTTCAGTCAAATTTCACCGATGACACGTGACTCCCGAAGTAAACCAAGTTCTTTATTTACCTCGCGGTCAAAAAAAGATCCCTCAATACCATTGACATTATTATCTACTTAAAGGAAACATCCACCATAACACAGTATAACAATATGTTCCTTTAAATCAACATTTTCGTTATCATTTATGTACGTATTGTGTATAATATTAAATATGTATTGGTTTATTTCAGAGTGCAGCTCCTGCAGTCATAACTTTAATAGGGATTCCCTGTGCAACAACACCTTTTACTGGAGCTACTACCGGGCTAACGACAGAGTCTACCACCATGTCTACAGAGCCACCAGAACCAACCTTACCACCCAATCAAAGGAAGAACAATCCCGAGGACCTGATATGGATATCCATGGCCTGTGTCCTGGGTCTGGCTATTGTTGCGTTGTTTATTTTTATTATCTACAGATGTAACGTGGCAGCCAGAAATAAACGTAGAGACATGAGTAGAAAGGATGGACCGCCGAGAAAAAGTTCTAAGGCGTAAGTTACACGTTTTGATCACAGGTGCTTATAATCTAGAAAGTCCTGCATGAGAGTAGCGAGCCAACTATTTGAAACCTATCCGTTTTTTAATTATAGAAAGGAGATAATCTAATATTATAAGGCAGTGGTTCTCAACCAGTGAGCCGCGGCACACAGGTGTGCCGCGTGATCTTCCTAAATGTGCCGCGGAATTTTGAACGGCACACCAAGAAAATGCGAAAAACCACATGATCCCGATAGAGTATTCGCTGGTGTCTACTGATAAGTTCATAGCTGTGTTTTTCTTTATTTAGTTCGAGTCAGTCTACGTGTCTATGACTAGTCTCTGTCTACGGTTGTATGCCGTCTGACTTGCCATGTTTTTATTTTGCGAAATTCAGATATTTTTCATATGTATTTAGCCAGGTGTGCCGCTATGTTTTCTTGTGTTTCAAGGTGTGCCGTTGGCAAAAGAAGGTTGAGAACCACTGTTATAAGGTCAGGTAACTCGTATCGAATTTGTCCTTAGTGCGAATATATCGGTAAGGAAAAGGCAAACCTTTGACGAAGAATGTCAAGGTTAAATATCACCGCCCTATTTGAACGTGAATAATTGTCAAAAATATTTGATGAATCCTCAAGGCATGTTATTAAGTCATGGTTAATTGTTATTAACTTGATTTGAACCTAACAATCATTTGAGGATTCGATTATTACAATTGAGCCTTAAAATACCCATTTTAGTATTCGTTTATAAGACTCGGTTGACAGAAAGAATACGAACCTGGTCGTGAAATTTCCAATCATAACTATTGAGAATTTTTTTTTTTTTTTAGATTATTAAATTGTAAGATGTTGAAATAATTTTCTATATTTAGATATGTGAATCCAGACCATATAAAAACAAGATCTGCATCAATTGTAGAGGCGACACCAGTCAACAAAAAACAAGAACAAAAAGATTACTTTAAAAATGGTAAAATATCTTCATACGCTTTGTATTATTAAAGTCTGAATTCATATTAATAACAAGCGGTTACCATGCAAGATACGTCCACATTTTACAGAATGTGAGCAGAGAACAAGCTAAACAGAAAAGCGATTTTTCGTACAATAAGGGACCATAATCCAGGAATTAAGGGTTCGATTAGCCCAAATATCGAAAGGATCTCAGAGCTTTGGGATATAAACATATATTTTAAGTTTCATCAAATTCGGATAAAAATTGGGACCTCTAGAGGGTCCACAACCTTGGTATAACATACTTTTACACAATTTTTGCCCGAAAGTTTCCGTCCGATTTTTATTAATCTTCCTTTTTTGGAATGTACGAATTTTATATTTATGTTTTCAGATATTAAAGATAATTATAAAGAAACATACAAGACCAAGACCCTTACATCAGCAGTGTAGCAACACAAAAATTTGATGTTTTTGGTTTTCAATCAGTTTCTGTATTTTAAATAAAGGGTATTTTTAGATTAATGAAAACTATTAATTATAAAAATAGAAAGAAAAATTCTTATTTATTTGACGGATATTAGCTGGGTTGGAAGAAAGAATTGGATGGCTATAATTTACTTTGGGATTGTTCGATGTTAATGTTTTACATCAAATGCTTATTTGATAAGCCTATATTTTAATATATAGTCTCGATTTTTGTAACTTTAATGTGATTATATACACAGTAACACAAAAGATTTAAACATCCATACTTAGCAGTTTTTGTAATGAAATGACCTATTCGACTTTGTAAAATAGATGCTCAAATGTCGTTATATTTATAAAATACAAAAATATGTAAATAGCGCTATTTATTAAATTTGTTTAACTATTATCAGTGCGTTCGTGTGTTATCATGAAAAGGATCAATTAAGGAAAAAAGACCGGCTATTCCTGAAGACAGTTTTTTCTCTCAGGTATTACTATTTTGATATTTTCCTCAATCTAATTAAAATATAGATCTATATTTCGTTTCGTTTTTTATACTTTCGATAGCCTACATACATGTAGAGATCTAACAAGTTATAGTGGGAGTTCACGTTCTATGACGTCAGGTACCAAGCAAGCGACATTTGACCCGATTACGTCAGTCATTCGATTAACCAATTAGCGACCGCCATGTATTTTTTTTATCTACTTTTGCTTTGTTTTGATTTCTATTGCCTCTAATGTCTACCCACAGTTCCGCGCAACAAAGGTCAAACGCTCGATTCGACAGACCATTTGATTGGCTGATCCCTCATTTCAAACAGAACACGAGTTAAATAACAACGCTTCCAGATCCAAGTGTAGTAAAGACAAGTAAAATCGAAATTTTGAACTATAAAATCGAAACGAAATTGGATCTGTGTTTTAATCAGACTGTTTTTTCCTGTATTACGAATTTGACAATGTGTGTATGATAAACCAATTTTACGTACTTCAGGTATTGCTCCACTTATTTGTGTCGAATTAAATTTTAGATCTGTTCACTAAAAGGGTGTGATCTAGCTACTTGGATCAGCTTTTAGAAACCCGTCGCTCAAGCGCTATAATTAGAGATGTATTATGTACGAGCTCAATTTGGTTGCTTTCTATGGCTTCGTATAGTGTTTTGTCTGAGGTCCCTCAATTCCATAATCCATCCTGCGTTGTTATAATATATCGCTTTTGTGTCGAGGTTTTGTTTGTTGTGAATTGAAAATAATTATACCAAATATATCGCGCGTAGCTCCATTCTGCAAAAATAGTCAGCCCACTTCATGCACCCTTTATCACGTCGTTTGTCCCCTCTGACTCCACTATATAAACAACATATTGAGACGAAAACTCCCGACTGGTACTATGATATATGCCTAATATTCACTTAAAATCTACATGTGTTCAAGCGAGCCCTTGACACGACAATCTAGTGTTAAGTGTCGTGTGTCTTAAAAAATTTTATGGTATGAGGAGCTAGCAGGTTGAACACGCCTTAAGCGCCCCATACACGATCAATTATATTGCGCAATTTAATTGTCAATACCCTGAATTGACAATTATATTGACCGTGTATGGGTGATATTGATGACTTGCGCAATTGTATTGAGTGAATCAAACTCTGCTTGATATTTGATTGCGCAAGTCTATTTGATTGCACAATTAATTGATCGTGTGTGGTGATCGTCAATTAAATTGTGCAATAAAATCATTTGTCTGCCAGATTTCCTTCTTGGAACATCCATTTCCTCTTCTACAGCAAGAGCAACTGCCACGGCGATTGCTGGGTCAAAATCCCCCATCCTTTCTCAACGGATAACAAGACCAAAATGAGTCTAGTTTGCGCAATTAAAGTGTCAATTATATTGAGCTGTGTGTGGGCAGCAAAAAATTGTCAATTATATTGTGCAACCAGGCTTGCGCAATATAATTGATCGTGTATGGGGCGCTTTACAATGTCCAATATGGCTGGAAAGTTTACTCTAACAGGATGTCTGGGGACTTTTAAATTATTATCAAAGGGTATCATGAATGTATGCCCAAATTTTAGTCTCTTTAACCAAATAACAACTTTTTTTGTTTTGGTTTTATTAGAATATAACAGGAGTTCACAGAATGGAAAACATATTTTAATGGCGATTATCATTAAAGGGCAATGTTGGTGTAAGCCATTATCACATATGTGATGGAACTGGTTAAACACATTCAAAATATAATTTTAACATATGGATCTTGCTACGATAGATGCGTAACGAAGATTTCAAGAAACGTAAGCGACGAAATCGAAAGGAAAATACGAGTTATCATTCTATATAAACTGACTGAAGTAACGAGCGATAACAGATACTTTATTTTTATTAAGTATAAAATGAATAAATACAAGGGAATGCACGGACTATTTTTATTCTCGTTTTCTCTTATCTAGTGACATTCACTTATATTTTGGAACGTGTTTAAGCAGTTCTATCACATATGTGATAATGGCTGACACCAATATTGTCCTTTAACAAAGCAGTTATTAATAACTATTACCTACATTAATAAACACCAAAACATAATATGGAACACAATTACTATTTTAATTAAAGCGACGTTTCATTAAGGATTCTCTCAACGTTTTCAAGCAAATGATGATGAACATATGTTGTTGTGTATATTTCAGATTTAACGTCCAATACATTAGATATGATATTATGGACAGGTTAATTTAATTAATTTATCTACATTTAAATGGTTGAAAATTGGTAAAAACACAAACTAAAAAAGTCCTCCCTGTTTATCAAAAAGTCACCTTAAAGGAGCTAAATCGCTAACATTTGGGACCTAGAAATTGACAAGAGTTTGATTTGGTGCAATGTGTCTAGCCTCGTCCCTCGAGTCTCTTGATACAACTGGGACTGAAGCGCATTATGGTACACGATTCGTGTACCAATGGTAAAATGTTTATTTTGTCTTAAATATTGGATATCAAAAGCCCATCTTTTTCCGGTAAGATCACAACATGAATGTTGATTTAATTTGAAAAATAAATCGTGTTTTCAATGTTGAAGATTTTGGATGATATTGAATTAGAGACTTAGCTACTTTAAACCACACTTTTAAAAGACCATTGTCGTGAGAAGAGAAGGCGGTCCATCTTCTACAGAAGACCATTAGGGTCAATCAAATGTGAAAAAAAAATATTCTGAGTATCTTGTAATTACAAAATAGCCTATCTTGTAATTACAAGATAACCATTTTATATAACTATCTTGTAATTACAAGATAGCTTTCTGGTAACTATCTTCTAATTACAAGATACCGAGAATCCCATTAGGGTCAATCACATGGAAAAAAGTATTCTAACTAATTACAAAAAGAACGATATCAGAATAGATGCATCTTGAGTAAAGTCTGTATCTTTACAGGTCCGGGACTATACAGCGCAGTGGACGCTTACGACTGGCTTCCGGATCCATTGACGTGGTTTGTTAATTATTGATGTTTATTTCTTGCAATGTCTATGTAGTTTGTCTTGTCGGGTTTGTTTTGCGTGCAATGTGGTCCTCCTGTACTTACTATAAGAACAATGTCACAATACATGCATCTGTACTATAACATAACAATGTCACAATACATGTACCTGGCCCTTATTTCTCAACCTACCATTCTTTTTTCCCATCTTAGGGCCAAATTAGGGGACAATGTATTTGTCATTGGCAGCGACGAAGAACGCGCCATGACAAATCCATTAGAAGATTGTTTCCATGATGCAACATTTTTATTGTGTACAAAACCTAAATGATAATATCATTCGCTTTATAGAAAAATCGGGGACACCATTGGAGGAAAGAAGCAAAAAACTCAAGATCAGTTATGGCGATGACGTTAGAGGGGAAGGTCACGTGCTTGAGTATTTCCCCGGACCCGGCTTACAAACATTATGTCGGCTAGAGGAGGGTCAGTAATTTGGGAGCCACGATGGCTAAGTAGGTAAGACGCTGGCTCGCTAGCCTGTAGGTCGCGGGTTCCCTCCCGGTGTTGACCGAGAAAGTTCAGGCGTGGTTTCTCCTTGTCAGTGGTGCAGAACAAAGGGCCTGACAAGGACTGCTGTCTAGTCGTTCGGATCGGACGAAAAACCGTGGTCTCGTGTACACATTCCTTGGCAGTTGGAATTCGATATAAGAGTAGGCCTTAATTAGCGACGCTGTCCGGGCAAAATTTTCCTCATAGCACACCGTATGGCGTATGCCCGTCTTCATTATCCCAGTCGGAGTAGAACAGTAGGACGTTAAACCCCATTTCATTTCATTTGTCAGTAACTTGAGATCCTGTGTATTTCAAATGTGTATGTAGTAATGTAAACGGGTTGGTAAAAGGGACATAACTCCACAGACCGCCAGTAATTTCCTCATTGACTTCAATGTTAATTCTGGTCTCTTGCTATAAATAGATCAACAACAAATCGTACCGAGATGGTGAAAATTAATGAAGGTCTGCAATTCTGCATCCATAGCCTATGCTTAAAAAGATGGCTATGGATAATCAAAAACTGGTTGCACATATTCCATTGTCTTAATATAATATTAATCATAGTTAATGAAACTTTCAGGGGATGTCCAAAAGAAACGATATACATTAAAATAGTACACATACTTAAATTTTTAAATGCATCTGAATGTAAAGGGCAGATTAAAAAATTGTATATCAGCAAATTATGTACCAGACTGAACTGAAATGCTGATGATTAAATTCAGTTTCGATATTCTGAAATTTGGCCTATTCGCACCGATAAAACGACTTTTACACCTTGAAGAATAGAGGAAAAAAGAGGGTCGAAGTATTATATATATGAAAGATATGGATTGTTTTATACCCCTCAAAAACTGATGATTTCACGGTCAGTAAATTGGAAGGTAACTCGACGCATTTTTATAAAATCTTTCCCTGTATTAGAATGAAACTAGCGCTGAGTGGAATGTTTCCATTTGAGTAGATTTATGTCCAACAATTTAAACAATGAATTATGAAAGAATTAAAGGACATGAAAATCGACAGTTGTCGATTGTCATAATCTTTTACTGTTTTCCGTGCATTTGATAAGACGACGACGACGCCAATGAGAAAGCAACCGATTCGTTATTTCATGAGAGAGAAAAAAAACCTAGTAAAGCCTGTTATAAATTTGGTTGACATTCATTGAGGGGTGAGCTTGTGGGATTGTGGATGGGGCTCTAGATCCCCCCCCCCCCGTAGCTTCTAGATCCGATACTGATTCTGCAGTCCATTGCGGAGATCTTCTAAAAGGAAACCGAGCGAGTTTTGCTTATGGATATATATTCCCCAAAAATCTTAGATGTTGACAATTAATCGTGTTGATCGTAGAAACTTTTTGAA